TTCAACCCTCCCCTCAGCCCTCCCCTCGATCCCTCCCCCCGACCCCTCCCCTCAGCCCTCCTCTCGGCCCTCCCCTCACCTGTCACGAACAAGGAAGGGCAAGACACTTACCTCGAGGAGAGACGGCCACTTTTATCTCCCTCAAAGCCCTTCACGAGTCTCCCCATTATTCAGGATAATTTTTCTCATCGGTTTCTTTTCGTTGGGGAACTAAAGTAATTTTCATTTTTAATTACATAATTTTTTTAGTTCCATACCAAAGAGCAAAGGATCTTCTGCCTCGCCTGTTTTCCATATTAATGAATTATTGTTTGTATTTAATGTTATTGTTATAGAGTATGGGAGACACGTAGAACAATCTGTGTATTCCTGTCCATATATTTTCCCCCCGCTTTTAGGAGAGACTCGTCTATTCTAGTAGAGCTCAGTAATCATCATTTTTTAACACCTTCACTAGAGTTGTCTCATGTTTTACGTATACATTTTGCCTGAGTATAACTCACTTTCCGTGTTTATCAAGTTTTCATTTCGTAAGTTTTCTTGTGTGTTGGCTGTGTGTCTGTCTGTTAGTTCTTGTAACAGCCGACGGAAGAAGTAACATAAAACTCCAAGAACAAATTTGTCAGAGAATTAGTAAATGTTCACCTCTCAGTTTTTAATGTCTCTCCTGAAGACACAAGTTACCTCCCAAAAGTTTTATATTACAGTTAATTGTAAAGTGAACATTTACAGCCAACTGAGTCGTTGTATTTCCGGCGTTCTTTATAGTAACACGACCTGACTTTTTCGCTGGTCGAGGTTTGTGATGCTCCAGACCAAGTAGTTCTCGATGAATAAACTGCTTCACTAATGACATCAGTTTGGACTTTTCATATACTGTGGTTTGTATTTGACGCTTTTGTGTGTTTCATTGTGTTGTGTACCACAGTAACACAAGATCTGGTGCTTCAGAGTTTTCTACAACCTCAGTGTTGTTGATGTAAACATTAGAAATTTCAGGATTTTGTTTCAAAAGAACATTAGCGCCATTTGAGTTCCTACACCCCGAAATGTTAATGGTGTCAGGTGTCTCTGTCCCAAGTTCTCCACGTTTAAAGACACAAAAGAAGATTTAGATTTAGATGTTATTGATAAACTTTATTGCCCAGACTGATTAGAAAAATATATTCTTATTTACTAGGAATGAATATATATATATATATATATATATATATATATATATATATATATATATATATATATATATATATATATATATATATATATATATATATATATATATATATAACGTTGACGTGTTGGACTCCGGTATATTGATAAATTGAGTAACTATGAACTTTTGATATGAAATTTGAATGCTAAGTGATACTGCATAAAAAAAATTATTGGAAAGTAAAGCAGCGAACGTGTTTGCATTGTTTTTATGCATTCAATAAAAAATAATTATTTATGTAGTTTACCTCGTGTACACCAGCTGACGTTACTTTATACCTTGCCATAGTTTGTCTCTGATAATACAGCCAGATTAAACCAAACAAAAAAATATGGCAGACCGAATAGCGGGCAAAGCCAATATTGCCAAATGGCACATCAACACACATTAATTTACGCCAAACTGCATATTACTCTGAATGAAAAGTGCCGTGTTAACTCTCAATGGGATGGAGTGAATTTATTAGTTTTTACTCATGACATTTGTCGAATGGTAAAATGGGGAAAATTTGAACATTCATTTCCAGGAATATTTTTGTGTTTGTGTTATGGATGTAAAGTCTTTCTGTTTCATTTAGTGGCTTTGAGGAAACGATTCATACATGTCGTATTTTGCCCAGTTGTCATTTTCTGTTTATATTTGTGGCCCTTCAGGAGAATTTCATCTTGTAAACATGTTTTTTTCCCTCTTATTCTCACGTTTTATCAAGCCATCGTCACAGAATTCCAACATGACCCTATAAGAAAGAATGGGAAGACATACATGATAATATTCCTCTTGAGAAGGTTAAGACACAGACCCCACATTAACAAGTATTCTTTTATTAACAAACATTCTTTACACTCGTCACCAGTATGTCACTTTTAACATCCGACACACATTCATCCGGCTCACGACTTTGCCGCCACTTGTCTATAACACCTACATGAAAGTTATGACAGACTAGATATAAACTAGAACTATGTATTCCTCCTACATCTTGCTCCCCCCTAAAAAAAAAATAAGATGGGAGTCATTCACACCAACAGACACTATAAACACGCCTCTCACTTGGCCAAGAACCTGCGTGAACTGAGAGAAAAAGGTTGAACATTTGAGTTGACTGTTGTCGGTCTTATGTATCAGAACTTGTTGATATTATGGTGAAGTCCATGTATAAGACCTATAACACACACACACACACACACACACACACACACACACACACACACACGCACGCATTACTTCACAAGATTCACTATTTTATAACAATTGGTTCACATAATGTAGAAAACTTCAACGGGTGTGTACATATATACAATGTTTTATAAATGGTTTATGTACATATACCTCCTCCACTTGTTGGTGAGGGTGACGACACATCACCGCCACCTACACCAGGTTCTCACTCCTTCATCATTACTTACCCATCCTAACGACGCACAGGCCCCAGGCACCAGGACACAGGCCCCAGGCACCAGGACACCAGCCCCAGGCACCAGGACACCAGCCCCAGGCACCAGGACACCAGCCCCCAGGCACCAGGACGCCAGACCCCAGGCACCAGGACACCAGACCCAGGCACCAGGACACCAGCCCAGGCACCAGGGACACTAGCCCCAGGCACCAGGACGCTAGACCCCAGGCACCAGGACACTAGCCCCATGCACCAGGACACTAGCCCCAGGCACCAGGACACCAGACCCCAGGCACAGGACACTGCCCCAGGCACCAGGACACCAGCCCCAGGCACAGGACACACGCCAGGACACCAGCCCCAGGCACCAGGACACTAGCCCCAGGCACCAGGACACTCAGCCCCCAGGCACCAGGACACTAGCCCCAGGCACCAGGACACTAGCCCCCAGGCACCAGGACACCAGCCCCAGGCACCAGGACACTAGCCCCCGGCACCAGGACACGGCCCCAGGCACCAGGACACCACTGCAGCAGGACACAGACCAGGCACCAGGACACTAGCCCCAAGACACTGGACCCCAGACACCAGGACACTAGACCCCAGGCAGCAGGACACTAGACCCAGGCAGCAGGACACTAGACCCAGGCACCAGGGACACTAGACCCCAGGCACCAGGACACTAGACCCCAGGCACCAGGACACTAGGACCCCAGGCAGCAGAACTGGACCCCAGGCACGACACCAGGACCCCAGGCACCAGGACACTAGACCCCAGGCAGCAGGACACTAGACCCCAGGCACCAGGACACTAGACCTCAGGCACCAGGACACTAGCCCCCAAGACACTAGACCCAGGCACCAGGACACTAGGACCCCAGGCACCAGGACACCAGGACCCCAGGCACCAGGACACTAGACCCCAGGCAGCAGGACTAGACTCAGGCACCAGGCACAAGCCTCCAAGACACTAGACCCCAGGCACCAGACACTAGACCCCAGGCAGCAGGACACTAGACCTCAGGCACCAGGGCACTAGCCTCCAAGACACTAGACCCCAGGCACCAGGACACTAGACCCCAGGCACCAGGACACTAGACCCCAGGCACCAGAACACTCAGACCCCAGGCACCAGGACACTAGACCCAGGCACCAGGAACACTAGACCCCAGGCACCAGGACACTGACCCCAGGCACCAGAACACTAGACCCCAGGCACCAGGACACTAGAACCCGGCACCAGAACACTAGACCCCAGGCACCAGGACACTAGCCCCAAGGCACCAGGACACTAGCCCCCAAGACACCAGGACACTAGACCCCAGGCACCAGGACACTAGCCCCCCAAGACACCACAGGTCCTAGGCACCAGGACACTAGACCCCAGGCACCAGGACACTAGACCCCAGGCACCAGGACACTAGACCCCAGACACCAGGACACTAGCCCCAGGCACCAGGACACAGCCCCAAGACACCAGGACACTAGACCCCAAGACACCAGGACACTAGCCCCCAAGACACCAGGTCCTGGGCACCAGGACACTAGACCCTAGGCACCAGGACACTAGACCCCAGACACCAGGACATCAGCCCCCAGGCACCAGGACACTAGACCCCAGACACCAGGACACTAGCCCCAGGCACCAGGACACTAGACCCCAGGCACCAGGACACTAGACCCCAGGCACCAGGACACTAGGGCCGAGGCACCAGACCACTAGCCTCCAAGACACTAGACCCCAGACACCAGGACACCAGGCACCCGGACACTAGACCCCAGGCACCAAGACACTAGCCCCCAGGCACCAGGACACTAGACCCCAGACACCAGGACACTAGACCCCAGACACCAGGACACTAGACCCCAGGCACCAGGACACTAGATCCCAGGCACCAGGACACTAGATCCCAGGCACCAGGACACTAGACCCCAGGCACCAGGACACTAGACCCCAGGCACCAGGACACTAGACCCCAGACACCAGGACACCTAGACCCCAAGGCACCAGGACACTAGATCCCAGACACCAGGACACTAGACCCGACACCAGGACACTAGACCCCAGGCACCAGGACACTAGATCCCAGGCACCAGGACACTAGACCCCAGGCACCAGGACACTAGACCCCAGGCACCAGGAACACTAGGACCCCAGGCACCAGGACACTAGACCCAGGCACCAGGACCAGCTAGACGGTAGTCTCGTAGTCCACGCGCACCACGTCGTCGCCAGAATGGGCCTCTTGTCACCATGAGTCCTTATCCGGGGGATGAGAAAGTCCTGCGTGGTGCTCTTCAGTCCGTGGCTGTTGTTGGTCACCACGGACTCTGCGTCCTTTTGTTCTTGGACGCGTCGCCGGTGCATGACGACAGCCACCAGCAGGGCCACTAGGATATGAAGAGCACTATGGAAGCGGCGAGGTACACCCAGGGAAGGGCGGCTAAAGACCGCACGCCCCCGCGCCCTCGTCCAGACCTGAGGGCAGTGGATGTTCTGTCACACCACAGGTCTGCTGGAAGACAAGCTTGGATTTCCGGGCACCTGTGAGGGCAGAGATCCACGCCCACAGGTGAGAGTGGCGCCGTTTGCATGGGTCTCCACACCCCTATCCAGGTGATCATTCTGCCGGTGGAGTTGCCGACATACTCCACCACCAGGTCACGTGACTCTTGCTGTTGCTTCCGTTGGCGGTGGCGTCCTCTCTTCTGGTACTCCAGCTGTTGTTGGTGGTAGTAGTAGTTACTCTGGCCGATGTTCATGTTGACGGAGGTGTTCCAGAGGTCGGTGGCAGCCAGTTCCTCCATCATCGTCTGATTAGGGCCGTGCCAGCCACTGCTAAATACGTGGGCGTAGTTGTTGTTTTGGTCAGGGCAAATGGAGGCTAAGGGCGTTAATCCACCAACCGCGTACACGTTTATTCGCGATGAACCATCACAGTTGGTCTCTGAGGCGCTGAACCCTCGCACGCGAAGGAAGAGGAAAGAGCCGTCAGCAGCCGTGACTAAACGAGGGAGGGCCGAGCAGTGGTTCCCGCGGGTGACACCGACAGTGAAGTTGCCGTGACGCCCCGCCAGATGTCGAGTGTCCTGCTCACACTCTTTGTTAGAAAACCTTACTGGCGTCAACAATGGAGTAATCCCCCTCCAGGAAATAGTCGTTGTAGTCACTTGACGGTGTCATGACTGGGATGCTGAAGATGATCTGGATCTCATTAGTATAGGAGATGAGGACGAAGGGCTGCTCGTGAGAAATGTTACAGAGACAAGCACGAATGAGAGGCACTCCTTCCCACGGCCTCTCTCTCATCCAGATGGCTGGCTTGTCTGCAGCACCATCGTGTGAACATTCGTATCGCCTGGAGGAATGTTTGAACAGAGTGCCACAGCTGGAACCCATCCGCGAACGTATGATCCTCAGAACTATCCGCTCGTCGGGCTCAGCCACAAAGGTGTAGACACAGCGAAGTTTTCGGACGCCGCCACGACCAAACAGGAAAACGTCTGTGGGAGGCGAATAGGCGATCTGGTTGCATGGTGAAGGTTCTGTCACAACGACCTCCTCCAGGGGTCGAGACGCCCCACTGGCGTTTATCTACAACCTAACGAGCCAGGAACTCCACATGTGCTGGAGCTGTGCCTGCTGCATACCTGAGGGAGAGTGTGAGAACTGGAGAGTTGGAGATGTAGCTTTCTCCTGGCAGACATGGCGCTGTGTGTTGTCCTGGAGCGTGGACGCCACTACACACCCTCGGCAACCTGTCTGGACGACAGAATTCACCCATTATTGACAGAGATGTTACATTTTCCTCTGTTACGTTCATGGTATTGTTCACGATACTGTCCATCATGGTGACGGTGGACTCTGTCGGTTCTAATAGGTTGTCTCCTTCTGTGATAGTGAGTGTGTTGCAGTGGGAGGGCGTCGGCATCTCTGGATGCAGGATGTGGCGATAATGCAGGAAGTAGAGCCACACCACCTCTGTGCTGCCAGCCAGGAGACGCCACGTGCAGGTAGTGTTAGGTAAGAGTGAGTGTACAGGTGACTGTACATACCCGCTGCGCTGGCCACGACTACTTACCATGTAGTCACAAGTCGACCCTTCACGGATATAAGCTGTTGACTCGCGGTCAACAAACTCAACCTCGACATCCAACTCGAAGCCGAATGTTCGACGACGAGGAGAGTCTTGGAATGGGAAGTCAAACGGTGAGGCGGAAGAAGGAGAAGACTGGGACCACTGGAAGTTATGCCAGTAAGAGGAGCTCCTCCTTTGCATACAGTGGCCAAGATGGGTGCTCCAGTACTGTTGCCATCATAGGCCACCAGGTAGTCGTACAGCACGTGACAGGCGGACCCCACCTGGAGTTTCCGTTCCCTCGACAAGTGCGGGGCATTGCGGTCCTTGATATAGATGAGGTGTGGATTACGCTGACGGACCCGGATCAGTGCCACCTTCCCGTCTGGCACTCTCGTCTGCCGGATGTGGTAGTAACACGTCAGGTTCCTCGGATACATCCCGGGAAAGTTAGGCGACTGAACCTTACAGTTCTTCTTGTCACAGTTCTCGAATTCCTTGTCACAGAAAGTGTTGGGCACGTCCTCCCCTCGGTAACTGGGACTGTAGGGCGCCCCGTAGCGGAGTATCGCCCGCTCCCTTCTCAGGAACTTGTAGGAGAGACTGAGCATGACAGTATCCTGAGGGGAGAACGCCGGTGGGTCTACCGTCGTCATCGCTGAGGCTGAAAACCCGGAGCATGACAGTGACGGCAGAGGACTCGGAGTAGAAGACGTTGTGGCCCCAGGACGTCCCGCACCAGTACCCGGAGTTGAGAGGGCGACTCAGCTCCTCGATCTGCATGTAACCGTCAGGGCAGCCGGAGGTGGTGTGGGAGACAAACCTGGGGAAGAAGACAACATGACAGTGAGGATGGTGAGGGAAAGCTGCCCAAATACAATACATACGTCCATACGCACATTCACACACTTTTAATCAGACTTTTGTTCAACTATTTGTTTTCTATGTTGTATTTTCGCCATTTGTCACCATCTGGGTACAGTTGGGTTTTGTTTTGGGCTCAGTTTAGTAAGTATGAACGCCTTTGGGCGCTTTGGCTATCAAGATTGAACACTTGAACACCCTTATTTATTAATACTGAATATTTCAACGCCGCCAGTTATCAACACCGAATATTTTTAACACACAACTATCTGGCGAAGCTGAACGTCAACAAAACATCTTTACCTACCAACGATGAACATTGCCAACTCTCCGTACCTACTTGCAGTATAATGAACATTTTAATACACAAAGACTAAACATTACCACCACCTCTGCCTGTCGTCGATGAACAGGTTGCCACACCTCACCTGCCCAGGTTGAACTTGTCGATGCTGAGCTGCACCAAGTCCCCATAGGAGTCCCCTGAAGCGATGAAGGTCAGCTGGCAGAAGTGAGGCAGCGTTCCTCTGTGTGGTCGAGGGATATGGAGGATGTAGGTCGCTCCCACACGCCCATAGTACGTCCTGTTACAGGCTGTGGGGAGAGTAGAGGATAGATGGAGTTATTACAGGCTGGAGAGAGAGAGAGAGAGAGAGCACTACAAACCAATTATCACAAGTATCTACCATACATTATACACAGTTGCACCCATTAAGCTTCTCTGCTTTCATCTACTCCACAAACTACCATAAAAAACCCGATGGAAAAACAGGCGACTCCACTAACAAGGTGAACTGAACCTCATTATAAGCGACTCTGTAGTTACTTACCCACGCTTCGGCCTCACAGTCAGCAGTCAGCCTTAAGAAGACAAATTACCTCAACTTTCGTCATCATTATCCATCAAACTGCAACAACCTCAACCGTGGACAAATCAACGTACCTAACCAAGGCTCCTGGTAAGAGAAGTTTAATATATTTGATGAAGTATCCAACAGATTTACCCAACCCAACCCAACCCAACCCAACCCAACCAGAACCTAACCCAACCCAACCCAACCCAACCCCAACCCCAACCCAACCCCAACCCCAACCCAACCCAGCCCCAACCCCAACCCAACCCAACCCAACCCAACCCAACCCAACCCCAACCCAACCCCAACCCCAACCCAACCCAGCCCCAACCCAACCCCAACCCAACAGCCCCAACCCAACCCAACCCAACCCAACCCAACCCAACCCAACCCAACCCAACCCAACCCAACCCAACCCAACCCAACCCAACCCAACCCAACCCCAACCCAACCCAACCCAACCCCAACCCAACCCAACCCAACCCCAACCCAACCCAACCCAACCCAACCTAACCAACCCAACCCAACCCAACCCAACCCAACCTAACCAACCCAACCCAACCAACCCAACCCAACCCAACCCAACCCAACTCAACTCAACCAACTCAACCCAACCCAACCCAACCCAACCCAACCCAACCCAACCCAACCCAACCCAACCCCAACCCAACCCAAACCCAACCCAACCCAACCCAACCCAACCAGAACCTAACCCAACCCAACCCAACCCAACCCCAACCCCAACCCAACCCCAACCCCAACCCAACCCCAACCCCAACCCAACCCAACCCAGCCCCAATCCAACCCAACCCAACCCAACCCAACCCAACCCAACCCCAACCCAACCCAACCCAACCCAACCCAACCCAACCCAACCCAACCCAACCCCAACCCAACCCAACCCAACCCAACCCAACCCCAACCCAACCCAACCCCAACCCAACCCAACCCAACCCAACCCCAACCCAACCCAACCCAACCCAACCCAACCCAACCCAACCCAACCCAACCCAACGCAACCCAACCCAACCCAACCCAACCCAACCCAACCCAACCCAACCCAACCCAACCCAACCCAACCCAACCCAACTCAACTCAACTCAACCCAACCCAACCCAACCCAACCCAACCCAACCCAACCCAACCCAACCCAACCCAACCCAACCCCAACCCAAACCAACCCCAACCCAACCCAACCCAACCCACCAACTCACAACCAACTCAACCCAACCCACCAACCCAACCCAACCCAACTCAACCCAACCCAAAGCAACCTAACCCAACGCAACCTCTACCTAACCTAACCAAATTGGAAGGTCTACAAAGCTTCAGTGTTGACCGCGTTATATAGACAAATTACAGCCGGCACCTCTAGAAGTTGGACCACCTCCACTAGAGCTGCCTGGGAAGACTATAAATGCAAAGTCCCCGACGGTGGAATCATAACGAGAGCAAAGGTGCCAAGTATAAAATTTATGACCATGAAATCCCAAGTTAAGGTGGTTTGGTTATCCCGTTCTGAGCGTGTGAGAATTACCTCCCAGAGACCAATCTTTAAGCGGGAAACAGCAGACAACATTCGCAAGGAGCAACTCAACATGAACGTGAAGAAGTGCATTATAACTTTAGTCGTGTGAGTTTATATTCGTGGTGGTGGTGTAGTATGACCCCACAAGGAAACCATCGGATATAACCAACGAACTGTCAAGGATCACAAAAAAAGGCAGGAAAAGACCAGGTATCGTAATCAAGCAGTTAGACCCACAGAACACCTTATCTATACCCAGCGTATGTCATCAAGGCTTCCCTAGTAAAATAAAAATAAACGTATTAATCCATTCTATTAACCACAACGCGATAAACACTCGAACATTATTATTATTATTATTATTATTATAATTATTATTATTATTATTATTATTATTATTATTATTATTATTATTATCGTTATTATTTTTATTGTTGTTGTTGTTATTATATTACGTCATGTTGCAGGTTGTTGAGTAGGGGTGAGGTGTTGTAATTGCAGTAAACAACAGGTGAAAATATTTTTGCCATCTCTCGGGGTTACTCGGTAGTGTCAACAAGAACTATCTTACGACCAACAGCTAATGACCTGAGGAATTTATTTTGGGTATTTTAAGCGCCTGTTGCCATGACGACGACGTAAGATGGGAGACGCTACCAGTCGACAGAAGATGTAAGAGAATAAGGAAGGACAAATGGTCGCCAAGAACCAAATGAGGAAAAGGAAGATAAGGTGTAAGAAGAATGAGACAAAGAAATGGAAGAGGAAAAATATGAAAAACAGAATTAGAGGAAGAGGCGGAAGAGGAAAATAAAAGAAAAAGCTGTAAGGAGACGTAGAAACGGAAGAGAAAATTAAAAAAGAAAAAGGATGAGAGGAAAAGGATTAATAAAAGGAGAACACAACAAAGAACAAGACAATACAACACAAAACGGCAGAAACCAATAAGAGAAAAGCAAGGAACATCACCATAATAAAGAACATCAAAGGCGGCGTACGTGAACAGAAGAACAGCAAAGGCGGCGTACGTGAACAGCAGAACACAACACAACACAGCAGAAGAACAGCATAAACAGACATACGTGAACAGCAGAACACAAGATAGCACAGCAGAAGAACAGCAAAGCAGACATACGTGAACAGCAGAACACAAGATAGCACAGCAGAAGAACAGCAAAGCAGACATACGTGAACAGCAGAACACAAGATAGCACAGCAGAAGAACAGCAAAGCAGACATACGTGAACAGCAGAACACAAGATAGCACAGCAGAAGAACAGCAAAGCAGACATACGTGAACAGCAGAACACAAGATAGCACAGCAGAAGAACAGCAAAGCAGACATACGTGAACAGCCTGAGGGTTCGTCGCTGTTGTCGTCGCAGTCCTTCTGGCCATCACAGTAGCGGTCGAGGCTGACGCATTGTTTACTCCTGCAGGGGAACTCTGCCATGGTACACGCACCCAGCACCGCCCGCACGCCCACACACGCCCACACCACGCCCACCGACCACAGGCGAGCACCCACCCACATGTCCTGCCGGGAGACACAAGAGGGGTGAGTTAGTTATAATAGAGAATTGAGATAATGGGGGTGAGAGAGAAGCGTGATGATGATGATGATACATAGAGATAATGATAAAGAGGTAAGAGAGAGAGATACAAGCACATATATAAATACAGTACATACACAATCTTGTATAAATAATGCTTCAATAATTCTGGGTTACTTTAAATTAATTTTGAATTATGTTAAAATCGGGTTCAGAATTGTTAACGTAATTTTCATATTAATTTTATTAAAGTTAATATCTTTAGGGGGAATTAACCTACAGTCCTCCATCCCTTACATAAATAATAATAATAATAATAATAATAATAATAATAATAATAATAATAATAATGTTGATATACTAATGAATATAAACAAACTCATTGCAGCTGTGATAACTCCTGTCATAGGATGTACTGTACATTACATAGTTCTTTGGTGATATATACCTCAAAATGCTTCTTCACCGTCAAGAAGAACATAGATTGTGCTATTCATAAATACTCTCGCTAGAAAATTTCCACCACATAAGATATTCAAAGTTATGATACAAAAATGTTAGGAAGTGAGATCGTCTTGGTGGTGACGGGAACAATGTAGACACAGATGACAAGATAAGGGTTGAGGCTCCTCTCTACTGCAGGAGGCGAGGCGAGGAGAGGCGAGGCGAGGCAGGGAGGGAGGGAGCGAGGGGGGCTATCAACATCTCTCTTCCCCCCTCCACCATGCTGGGTATATCAGGGACCCCAAAACTGACAGCCTTTATGTAGGGTTCACACCTTGTTCATTGACGCAACGTAATGTAAAAGATAAGAGGCTGGAGATGTGGTGGGGGATGGTGACATGTTGAGGGAGGAAGTGTGGTGTTGTGGTGGGGGAAGTGGTATTGGTGAGGGAGATGTGGTGTGTGAGGGGGATTGTGGTGTTGTGGTGAGGGGGAGTGTGGTATTGTGGTGAGGAGGGGTGGGGAGGTGTGGTGTTGTGGTGAGAGGGGAGGGGAGTGTTGCGGGTACTGGAATAGTTCTGTATGTTGTAAGGAAGTGGTGAGGTAAAGTAAAGTGCAGATAACAAGTCTTTTTACGTGTGAGAAAATCGTGTTTTTTATAGAAAGATGTGAGTATACTGTATATAAACATGAATTTATTGTGAGAAAACTTATATACCGAATAGAAACATATGTGTATAGATTACTTTTGTTTTGAGAATCTTATGAGTTATGATGAAATTATGAGTACAGATAATTATTATTTTTGTTACTTTATTTTACTGTGAAGGAGACGTAAGTGAAGGACATTCTGAGCAGTGTGTGTGTGTGTGTGCGTCCATCCCATCAGTTCCAGTAATTGATCAGTTCCCCCTCCCTTGCCGAGACGTATTGGACCAGCTACAGTCGCTGGTCAGTTACCGCTTGGGTACCCTAAGCGTCTCTCCTCTCTCTCTCTCTCTCAAACAGGGGTGTTGGCTGTCCTCTGCTGACACCACACTACCATAACACAATACCATCACTACAACACCACTACACTACAACATCACCAAAACTATAATACCAAAATTCACAACAATACACCACAACACAACACACCACACCACCACCACAACACCACCACAACACCACCACACCACACCACCACCACAACACCACCACCACAACACCACCACACCACCACCACAACACACCACACCACAACACCACAACACACCACAACACCACCACACACCACCACACCCACCACCACACAACACACCACACCACCACCACCACCACACAACACCACCACCACACCACACCACCACCACAACAACACACCACAACCACAACACCACCACCCACCACACCACCACCACAACCACCACCACAACACACCACACCCACCACCACCACCACACCACCCACCACAACACCACCACCACAACACACCCACCACCACCACCACCACACCACCACACCACCACAACACACCACAACACCACCACCACAACACCACCACCACCACTGACCACACCACCACCACAACGCACCACAACACACCACAACACACCACAACACCACCACCACAACACACCACACCACCACCACCACACCACCACCACACCGCCACCACAACACCACATCTCCACAACACTACCACCACAACAAAACACCATACCACCACAACACCACACCACACCACCACCACAACACCATCTCCACAACACTACCACCACAACAAAACCATACCACCACACCACCACAACACCACATCACCACAACACACCACACCACCACCACAACGCACCACACCACCACAACGCACCACACCACCACCACAACGCACCACAACACCACAACACCACCACCAAACACACCACAACACCACAACACCACCACCACAACACACCACAACACCACCACAACACCACCACATCTCCACAACACACCACACCACCACCACAACACACCACACCACCACCACACCACCACACCACCACCACAACACCACATCTCCAACACTACCACCACAACAAAACACCATACCACCACACCACCACCGCAACACCACATCTCCACAACACTACCACCACAACAAAACACCACACCACCACACACCACCACAACACACCACACCACCACCACAACACACCACACCACCACCACAACACACCACACCACCACCACAACACACCACACCACCACCACAACACATTTCCACAACACTACCACCACAACAAAACACCATACCACCACAACACACCACACCACCACCACAACACACCACGCCACCACCACAACACCACACCTCCACAACACCACCACCACAACAAAACACCATACCACCACACCACACCACCACCACACACCACACCACCACAACACACCACACCACCACCACAACCCCACCACCAGCACAACACACCACACCACCACAACACACCACAACACCACCACAACACCACATCTTCACAACACTACCACCACAACAAAACACCACACCACTACCACAACACCACATCTTCACAACACTACCACCACAACAAAACACCACACCACCACAACACCACACCACCACACCACCACACAAAAAACACCACACCACCACCACAACACCACATCTACAACACTACCACCACAACAAAACACCATACTACCACACCACCACAACACACCACACCACCACCACAACACCACATCTCCAAAACACTACCACCACAACAAAACACCACACCACCACAACACCACACCACCACAACACACCACACCACCACCACAACACACCACACCACCCACCACACACACCACACCACCACAACACACCACACCACCACCACAACACCACCTCACACCACAACCACCACCACAACACCACATCACAACACAACCACCAACACAACACACCACAACACCACCGCAACACCAAGGCCAGTCTCCCTGAGTGTTAGCGAGCGAGACAGAAATACTAATAATCTTACATCTCTCTCGCCGTTAACTGTGAGCCACCGTGACCAACTCCTGCTGCTCTCAATCTTGTGGTTTTTTGGTCCCGTTTTGGTCTTACTCGTGGTCTCTTTTGGTCTCCTTTTTGGTCTTTTTCGTGGTCTATTTGATGGTCTTTTTGGTCTCTGTTTTGGTCTCACTCGTGGTCTTTTATGGTCTGCGTTTTGGTCAGTCTCGTGATCTTTTTGATCTCTGTTTTGGTCTCACTCTTGTGGTCTTTTTTGGTCTTACTCTGTGGTGTTTTTTGGTCTGTTTTGGTCTCACTCGTGGTCTTTTTGGTCTCTGCTTTGGTCTCACTCTTGTGGTCTTTTTGGTCTCTCTTGTTTTGATCTGGTTGTCAGCAGTGTGGTGAAAAACTGTTGGTCTGAGGATGATGGTCTGTTATACGGTCTCAGATAAGGTTGGGTCTGGCTGTTCACAGTATTCGACCAGTTAACTTCAAGGTAACAAACCGAACCGACCAATAGAATTCCAGATAACAAACCGAACCGACCAACAGAATTCCAGGTACAATTGCCAACCAATAGAATTCCAAATAACAAACCGAACCGACCAATAGAATTCCAGGTAACAAATTGAACCAACCAATAGAATTCCAAGTAACAAATCAAACCGACCAATAGACATTGATGATATGGCAATTATCGTGAACGGATAACTAATATCTCCGTTCTGGGCTCCGGCCTTCCGTCCGTCCCACTTTCCGTCTTGTGAAGGAGTAGGAAAAAGGATTGAATGCCAAAGTCGTCCAATGAAGACCTTGATTATATTATCTGATCCTTTAGTCCTTCCGAAGTGGACAGATGTGATTAGATTCTCTGTATGTGATTTGGTGAGAGTAGGTTCACTTGATGGGGGAGGGGTAGGGGGGTAGGGAGGTAGGGGTGAGGGTGTAGGGGTGGGGGTGTAGTGAGGAGGTGAGGGAAGGTGATTAAGGGTGTAGGAAGTGTGTATTTTGGGTTGAGCCTTAAGGTGTGTAGGGGAGGAAGTAGTGTAGAATTAGGGGGGTGGGTGTAGTGTGGAATGTGGAAGGGTGATCAGGAAGTGTGGATTGTGGGGTAGATTGGAGTGTGGAGTGAGAAATAGAATGCTTGTGTGTGTGTGTGTGTATGTGTGTGTGTGTGTGTATGTGTGTGTGTGTACACAACACACACATACATAATTGTGTGTGTGTGTGTGTGTGTGTGTGAGTGAATATTTAAGTTGTGTGTGTATGTTTGTATGCATATGTGTATCCCCCCTGTATGTTTGTATGTGCCTATGTATAGATTTTTTTATAGATTTGTATACAGTATTTATGTCTGTATGTTGGTGAACGTTTGTATGTCTTCACCTGTCACATATACAACGTCTCCCACACACACCTCATCCTTATAGTAACTCCTCACCTGTCAGTTTTCACAAGGTACAGCCACAGGTAAAACAGTTTCACCAACAACTACACCCAATGGGCTTAATATTTTCTTCAAGACGTGAGATCCAAAATGCCCAGATGTCCTCAATAGTTTTCCTG